CTCGGATACTTGTAAGGTCAGCTCTCATTGGTAAATTTCTTTTTATGTCTTCAGAACTTTCGATGTTCAGGGAGTGCCTGATAGAGGCGGAGAAGGATCGACAAAAAGCAGCAGCGGATGCAGCTGTTAAAAACCAATAACCTGTATACACCTAATTTATTTCTGCCCTTCTTGATGTTTTCGCTGTGAATGTGCCGTTTTATTTGTGATTATTATGACTTGCTCTATAAAATTGCCTCAACGACCCGCTTTTGCTCGTTCTACTGCATCACAACTTCTCGTGTCCACATATCAGCTAGAAGGCTCTGATTCACGAGTCGGCTCTCTGTACATTCTCACGCATAGCCTCGACATTGTTCGATGTATTACGGCTCCAGCTGGAGTGTTTCGATTTGACTTTGTGGAACCACACGTTATTATAGCAGCTGTTACTGATGGCTCCCTCTTCACCGCCTCCATTACAGGTCAGTACCAACCCAGTATAATCATTGCTGATTCTTTTGTTTCTTCTGTTACAGCAAGGGAAAGCGTACCCTTTACAACCTTTTATAAAAGACTGGGACGCCTGACCAAAGTTTGTACCCCATCCCCCACCGGTCGTCGGTTCTGGGGGGAGGGGGGGGGGGGGCAATGGAGGACACGAGTTGCGGTTGCACTGAAAAAATGAGCGAGGGGGAGGAAATACAATATGGCAGAAAATAAGAGAAAATCAATCATGAAGGAATTTTCATTGGACTAAAAGCGACCGGCCTTCATAACTCGTAGCAAAACCCTCACTCACCCTTGAAGAGCTCGTTCATACTTTGCGACTGGGAAGTCGCATCGCTCAAGAACGACTGGATCGCGCGACCATGACCTTGGACGATCGGTGGACCGCTGCAACGGCAGAATTCAATCAGGCCGTGTTCAGGCTCCGTATGAATGGGCGTGACCCAATCGCTTCAGCGATCGGATCACGAACTAACGAACGCGTTCCAAGGTATCCATCACAACATACGGCGTGCCCTGTTGCGAATACGATTGGCCCTGTTGAATAATCTACAGTGGAAAGCAGACATAAAAGCTATTGTCTCCTCCCCAAACGAAAGGTAGGCTACAGTAACCCGATCTCTGAAGAGCTCAAGGTTTCGGTTTCTTTTGCCTGTACTGGACTCGATCTCGACCTGGTGCCGGAGTTGCAGTCAGCGGTGGTCATTGCCACATACGTCACATCCGGAACTAGACCCTAGCAGCTGGAGAGAATATACAGAGTTCATGAGATGTTGTAATGTTTATTTGACTCAATCACCAGTACTATTGCTTCCAGATTCACATAGTTCTTGCTACCCAGTGGAGAAGATATTCTGCTTGATGTTTCATCACCATCGCCATCAAATCATGTGTCCTGCACTGACAAAATGGGCTTTGCTTACGTTGTCGATCTAGGTACGGGTATAGTGATTGCGAGTTGGAAGGCTCATTCGCTACCGTATACCGACACTGGATGTGAGGTATGCTGGCTAGGCATTGCAATGGTAGACCGGAGTTTTTTTTCTTAAACACTGGACTTGAAGGTATGGACGTGCGCTCAAAAAGATACCACCGTATGCACAGGAGGTGAGGATGCAACCCTCAAGGTTTGGGATGCTCGTAGCCACAGCGTTGTCCAACGGTTCAGCGAATTTGAAGCTGGCGTCACCTTCAGCGATTGGCAGAAATACGTATGTTACAATGGCTCTGCTTTGCTTTGCGCAGACAGCAAATGATTTTGTATGTTATGAGAATCCTATTTCAGTTAATTCTTACTGGCAGTTACGACCAACAATACGTTTGTTCGACATGCGTAATAGACGGGAAGCGATCAAAATTACGAAGGTGAGGGACTAGCAGTAAATTCGTAAAAGAAACCAAGAAAAAACAAATCAAAAGAAGTATAATGAAAAATGCCACATTACTCGGCGCGAGTCTAGCAGATAAATTAGAATAAAACAAACAAGATTCACCAGGAACTTGATGAGAAATCCCACAGAAGCTGAAAACAAATGTCTGAACTTTTTTAGTCATAACAGTCATACAGTCAACAAAAAACAGGCAGCAATCTTTAGTAGTTAAGGGAAGAATCTTCCAACCTACAACTGCTTCTTCGCATTTTTCAGCGTTAACCATTTTAACTTTTGAATACAGCTAGGAAGGTGTTATATTCATGTCCTAAACATGAAATACTTCTATTTTGCCGAGGCAGGAGCAGAAGAGCCGATTAGTCATCACTCGCTGCGCGAGCGCGTGCCGCCCCTCGCTATATACGTTAGCAGCAAGTTGCGAAGGTGCACAGCTTTTAGAGTAATCAAAATTCGTCGGAAAAGACTTTTACCGAATGTGAACTGCTATTTCAAAGATGTTGTGTTCATTATACGGGAATAAGTTAGATTGTTTGAGGTTGCTTAGGCCGAAAGTGCACCATGTAGGAAGACAGAGGGCAGCAGCTTTCACAGTAAAAGTCGTGGAAAAACGTTCACCCTGAATCTGCTTTCTCAAGGAGGGTGGATGTGCCATTTGTTATACGAGAAAAGTTGGATTGTATGAGTTTACTGTGGTTATAGTGCACCGTGTAGGTGAGAGAGTGCAGACAAGAAGAAAACCCTTTCTATTCATAGGATAAGTATCGCTGACGCGAAATTGCTGACTGGCCCTCATTATGCCTTACTATCCAGTGAACTTACAAATTCATGAGAAATAGTCGAAAAGGGAACTAGAAGTTTATAAAGAGAAAGTAGTAATTAATTTTAAGTAAAGGCATCGAAATTTTTAACGGCTTCGGAATGTCGTATTGTTGACGAGCTTTCAGGCCACCACAATGCTTCAGAGTAGCCCCTTTCACAAATAAGTCTAGAAGTCTCTAGCTCATAAACAGTAAAAGTTCAAGTGAAATGTTTATGTCCGATTTATAACCCCGAAACGTTTTCCTTACAGCTCATTTGTTTGGTTCTAGAGCGGATGGAGGAGTTTGGAAATCGAAAACTGTGAGTGCGGGTACTACGAGCAGTCATGCTCGCTCATGCAATGTACGGTGCTGGGCGCTATACATCGATGAAGAATCTTGACGCTAGTAAAAAGTGATAAATAATGCGCGGAGAACAACTTCTTTTATGAATAAGAATTTGTGAGTGGTAGTAGTCTCGCTATACGACGTTTAAATGACATACAGTAAGCCATGGCGTACTGTGATGTTTATTACTATGCGACAAAGTTACTGTGTGTTTTTATCTATGGGCGGGGCGAAAATATGTGCGACAAATATTAGTTGTATTCCTGTTTTCACTGTAAGACTAAATTATTCGGGCAATATTTATGTAAAATCCACAGCGATATAGTCACAGATAGAATGAGGCACCTAAAGTCAAAATTACGCTAGAAAAGTACGTGAATCTATACAAATATATACAATGCTATAAGACCATTGACGCACTTCCGACATGAGATGAATCGGTGAGAGCAGCATTTTGTGGGCTGCACGGTAATACGTATATATCCACTTTCCATGCTAAAGTCTCTATGGGGACATCTGAAGGAAAAGATCTTAGGCAAAAAAATGAAACAAGGAGTAGAGGTAAGAATATCATCTTATAAAATGGTAAGTATATATTCCTTAGTATATTTAGTAGCAGCCGTGAGGTTTTGGCATTAAGTAAATCGTATCAAGGTGCTGGGTCCTTTTATGGAGACGTGGAAGATCACGTGAGGGCAAGAAATAGTACGGGCTTCATTTCCACACAAATTCTTCCTTGTTTTTTCTTATGCAAGACGGCATATCAAGCAGAAAAGTATGAAGAGAATAGTATGAGCCATGAGGATGAGGATCTTCGCCCTGAACCTAGGGCGACAGAGCTCCAAACTAGGTGAACCAAGTTGTGCTCAGTAAGTAATATTCGTAGTTTTACAGAAGACAGCGTTCAGACTTCGCGACGGCAGTGCCCCGGTCGCGCGCTCGACACGATCTATGAGCATGCTTTCAACTGCATCGATCGCGTTGAGCGCGGATCGAAGCGCTGTCGCAAAGTCTGAACGCTGCCGAAGCTTACGACATACACCGCTCACCCAGTCCCCACGAGTCCAACTACGCTATTCAGTGCAGGTAGAATGATAGTCTTTTGAAGGCAAACTGTACGCTCACGTCCGAAGGTGGCTTTTTACATTTGCGAGCTGAATGGGTCCGCAGCTTCAGTAGCGCGCCCCTCCCCGCTCAAAAGTGCAGGAAAGCGGGGCTGAAGGGTGGTAAAGTGTAGTGATTCTCAATGCCATCCCCACACTCCGCTCGCGCATCCTCAAGGTGCACCAGTTGTGCCGATGCCAAGGGAAATATGCACTGTGCGGTGGGGCACAGCCAGAAGTGAGACGGCGCAGACAAGTAGCGCGTTCGACTATAGTTTGGTGTGCTGGCGGTGCGGCAGCATGAACGAAGGCGGCGCTCGGGTATCATTGCCCTCCAGCCCCGTTCCCGTGCACTTTTTGAGCGGAGAATGTGGCACTCTATTGCAGCTGTGGATCCACTCTTCCCACGCACGGCAAAGACAACATTCACGGAGGAGGGTGTTTGTTTGTCTTCGATCTTCTATGATCAAAAAACCGAAATAGAACAAATAGTAGATTTTCCGACTAAATTTAGGCAAAGAAATCGAAGACCACTGTAAGTGCGCCTCCAGAAATAATCCATGACTTACCAATCGGTGCCTTACAAACTTCACCAT